TGGCATCTCATTTAAATATTCTCCAAATATATAAAGAGCACCTATGCGTTCCCTTACAAAGTCTTTATGAGCTTCAAATTTAGATTTTGAATGCCACTTTATTTGAATTTTTGTATTATATTTTGAATTCTTGTTATAAAATTATACTTTTTAACTCTCTATACTGTTATAAATCTCACAATACTCGATTCTCTTTAAATTTTAAATTTTCTCACCAACATTTGAATATCAACTTTATTAATTCAAATAATTATTATTTGATTGACCTAAATTAGTTTACAATATTAATTTTATTTAACGGATAATAAAATACCAAGCTCACATTATATTTCAAATTATAACACGTTTATAGTTTTTTGTCGAAAAAATATCGTATTGGAACGTTCGCTTTTTACCGCTTCTTTATATTCGTTTCTTTACGAAGTTTAGTATTTATTAATTTGTTATTTTATATAAAAGAATTATATAATACATATATATATACATAAGTATATATAAATATGCATATGAATTAAGTAAAATTAAATTTATTGTAATTTAATTTTAATATTATGTTTTTTTTTTTCAAAAATAAATTCAAGTTTCTCATATTAATTCTTATTATTTGAATATATTTAAAATATTAACACACGCATAGGTACATAAGTATGTACTGTATTTACATAAAATCGGTATAATAATGTAAGTATGTATGTCGAATATGTCGAGTATTTTGATTATCGCTTTTTAAATGTTTCTTAAATTATTCCATTCATCGGCTTGGATTATTGAAAGAGAATTTATATGAATTGCTATTAATTATATTGGTATTTTAGTTTTATTTAATTTTTTTCTGAAGTTGTTCGCAATATTTTATAAAATTCAGTAGGTATATAAATTCAAAATTAAATTTTTATATATACTTGAATAAACTGATTACGGTACAGAAATCCAAAATGGTCAATAATCGTTTTCAAATTTTACTTAAATTTAGATCAAAATCACAATTTGACAATTTCCAATCTCTTTCGCTGATATTTCAAAAGTATTTTAACAATATTGTACAAGGGGTGTGACCGCTGTATTGAAATTAATATGTAGAAGAATTGAATTAAATCATTGCCGGTAATTAGACATAATTTTGCTATTTTTTCAATAATTTTGGAAAATTTCTTGTCTTGCAGGTTATAATATTATAATGAAATATCAGGAATCACATATAACTTACTGTTTATAGACCTTACCATACAATTCACCAATCGAAATATTTTCTCTTCTTCGGAATTTTTTGCTATAAACAGTATAAAGAGATGGTTATTTGCCTCCCCGTACATATATCTCTACCTGTTAATCTTGCAAAATTACTATCGTATATTTGATTTTAGTTTATGTGAAAATCGTGACTTACTTGCCTCACTTAAAGTATAAAATGTGAAGAATATGAAAACAGAAAATAAATATAGAAAAAAAAGAAGAATCAAACAATGCCGGACCAACTTTAAAAATTTTGAATTTTTCTTTTTTATTTCTTTTATATTTTGGTAGACAGAACATAATTCATACATATTTTGTTTAGAAACAAGTTTCAGTGTTTCCCAAGGATAATTTTCTTTTATTTTTTTTTTTGTTTTATTGAAGAGTGCAATGAATAAAAATTACACGCAATTATCAAAAATAAAAAAAAAAAACATTTAATTGAAGTTTTAAAAATTTTGTATGTGTACGGTCATTAAAAATTTATAGGTTATGTGTCTTGTCATTGTTATTTTTGTAGTTAACCTTGTCCAATAAATTTTATTAAAATTTATTGGTTTGCATACAATTTTATAATGATGGTACAGTATAATTGTTTGCACACTAATAATTATTATATTATTAATTTTTGTAGTAACAAGACCGAAATTTACTTTAAAAGCAAATAATATTCGCAACAGGATATAAATTTTCGCTTAAGTACCCAATACTGCAATTCTTTCCTTATAAAAATTTTTTGTAATTTAATTAAGACGCAGGTTCAAAGAAAATTCTAAAACAAATTATGCGTGATAAGATTGAAAAATAGTATGTGCTCTTTATGTTCAAATTTCGTCTTATTCAATTCAATTCAACAATAAGATTGTTTTTGTGTTAACTTACACGGTTCGATGTGTTGAAATTTTACACCAACTTCTAAAAATAGTTATTCTTCAAGAAATTGCAAAGATAAATAATGTTAGATTAAATAGTATGACAGATATAATCCAATTTTGAAAATAATTTTCTTTCTCTTTCAAAACCCCTCTTACCTCATAATCGACTACATCCCTATAACATTTATATTTCTATCAAAATATTTTATTTTATACATCATTTTATATACTTTCTTTTTTATATTTTGAATATTATTTATAACATTTATATGAATTTTTATTTAAACAATTACATTGTTATTACGTGTGTATAACATTTCCAAACACCCAAACTTTATAGTACGTTACGATACGCATACGCAATTACCAATTTTAGAGCCTATCCTTAGTATTATTACTAGTATATATAAATATAACAGTAACACCTATGATTACTTAAAATCTAAAATATATAAAAACAACTTTTAAACGTGTAAACATTTTATAACATAACTGTATAGAGTTATCACGTCTTTCATAAATATTTTTTTTAGTAATAACTTGCTAATAAAATATTAACTAACAATAGTTTAAAAATACGGATGAATAAAATCAAAAAAATTTTACCAATTTTATGATTTCAAATCAAATATTTAATAAATTTTTACTACATATTCATACATAAATAACTACTTATATTACCACTTAACTATAGGGTGGCCTACACATGTATTTAGCAAAAATACAATATTATTTAATTTTTTTTGTATAATTGTTTTGTTTATATTTATTTACTTACAATTGTTTTTTTTTTCTCTTTTTTATTACAGATTTAATTTTACAAATGAAGCATCATTTATTGTCATTGTTATTGTTATAATTATTGTTTCTAACACGAATTTTACAAAGAAAATTCGCAATATAAAAGTTTACTGCATATATATATATATTGCCAGAAAACAAACATACTTACCTACGGTAAATAATAACAGATTTTCAAAATATACAATAAACTTACGTATGTATAACATAATTATGTTTGCTAATAAAACATAATAATAATAAAAATAAAATATTATAGATTAAATTAAACAAACATAAATTAATGCTAAAAAGAAATTCGTGATTTAAAGTAATAAAATATAAATTGTATGATTAAACATTGAAAAATATAATAGAAAAATACGTATAATTATTATAGACAAACATATGTATAACAATTATGTTATAATATAACACATAAATGTAATTATAAAATATAAAAAAAATTGCAATTACTTACATGTGAAATTTACTGTTACATAAACTATTATACATATTTTGATATACATAATAATATTAATACACCCACCTCAAATTTATGTATATAGACGTATACATATGTGTTTTTTGTTTAATTATTTAAAATATAATTTATGGCAGTATAACAGATGTAAAAGCAGCATCAATATAAATAGCAGCGCATCAAATTATCACTTAGATTGAGATTTTATATTACTGTAAAATTTAAAATATAATAATTATTATAAAATTGTTGTTTTCCAACATAAATAAATAAAAATTTAGAAAATCACCACGAAATCACCGTTACCTTCACACAATATACATATTAAATGTGTACATAAAAGTTTGTTGCATGTTAATAGTTATGTTGTGTAATCGGGATGAATTAAATAAAGTACAACAGTGTTATACCTTGCACAAATAAAACCAACTTTATACACACACTCATTTAAAGTGTGCATATTTTGAAATTTAAAACAAATTATTTCTCGTTTCATAAAAGTGTGCCTTAAAACTTAAATAGAAAAAGTATAATAATAATAAAAAAATATTAAATAAAAAATTTTTGTACTTTTTTTTTTCTTTTTTTTTTTATTTAATACAAATTTTTATGTTGTGTATTTTTTCTCTTTAATTTCAAATTAAATTTCATCACGAGAGTGAAAATTATTATTTATTTTTTATTTTATAACATTACAATTTTACTACATACCCACATATACATGGGTGTATTTTAACTTTCGCATTAATTTTTTTTTTTTTGTTTTTTTCATTTTTAATTTTTCTTTTCATTGTAATTAGATCAATTTTATCCATATGTTAAAAATTGTACGAACATAATTATTATACACATATTACATAGGAGAGAAATAAAGGAGTTGAAAAAATATTACAATAAATAATTTATGACAATTGCTATTTGAAGGCGCTATAATCACATCTCTATACACACATACATAATATTCATAATACCACATATAGTTAAGTTTTAAACGCATATACATAATATAACTGTGGTATTACACAGGTACTTTTAATTTATAATAATGACACTGTGGTGAGTTGTGAATTTCTATTTTATTATATAGATTATTGTTCAAAATATAAAAAGAAGAAAAATGTGTATATGAAATTAATTATAGAAATTAATATTATTGGATTATTAAAAAAATAGCTATAATATAATAGAAGATAATAAAAATATAACAATAAAAATAAAATATAATGAAAATAAAAAATTTAACAAATTATAATAAACATTTAATAAATCAAAGAATAAAACTCACCATTTAAAAGAAAAAAATTAAAGTGCTACACAATACTAAAAGAAAGTTATATTTGTGTTCAGATATTTTTTATACCAAGCATATATTTAGGCAAAATTAAAAACCCACACTTTCATATTTTTTTAACATTTGTGAAATCATATTGTTGAATTGTTATATTATTTGTATGTATGTGTTAAAGGTTAATTTTATTAATTATTATTGAAAAGCGTACAAAAAAACTGAAGTTTTAAAATAGTTTTTTTTTTGTAATTTTTTTGTTTCCTTTGAAGAAATTCTTTTACAATAAAAAATTCTTTTCTTTTCAAATTCTTTGTAATTAAATATTAAAAATTTTTATTAGTAAATAATTTAATATAAAAAAAAATTAATATTGAATTAAAAAAAAAATAAGAATAATTGTTAAAATGATGGCTAATAATAAAAATTTAATGAAAATTTCATTACTATTATTAATATTAAATATTATAAAAATATGTAATGGACATGTAGCATTAACATATCCACCAGCACGTCATTATGCATTAGATTTTTTGGATAATTCACGTACAAAAGGTCCCTGCGGTATGCCAAAAGGTAAGAATTCTTTACAATAAAAATTTATATTAGTATTAAAAAGCAGTTATTTATGATCGTATTTCCAAAATTCAAAATTCTAAGTAATTAAGTAATTGTGTACTCTTGCAGACCCCATAAATAATTTAATTTTTGTTACGGTACATATCACTTACAAATCTACATCTATTTTGGGTAACAAAAATTAATATAGCCAATAAAGTATTAAAAAAATTTGAAGTGATTGCATTTTTTTGGATTTTATTCGAAATCTAAAGTTAAAATATGAATTTTCTGATCCTGTTTTAACATATAAGTAACTATAAATAAGCAAGATACAGCTGCAATCGATTAGCTTTAGCGTTATAATCGGTTCGCTTTTTAAGCGGTGCCACAAAAGAAAATTGGCATTGAATGCATTTAAAATATGAATTTTCTTAAATGTCAAGCCTTTCGGTAAAGCGAAAATACTAATCTTAATATGTTAGAATTATAATCTGAGAAATGAAGAAATTAATTTGACAGATTATAATTTTTCGTTTTCATTTGGTTTACCAGTAAAATTTTGATTTTTTTTTAATAATCTATTAAAAATAGAATTATATTTAGGTCAATTATTGCAATTCAATTTCGTAAATACAAATTGTATAATACGAGATATAGAAAATTAATGTTAATCACTCAAAATCACATAAATATCACCTGCTGCATAACAATTACTTACAACATATAAACACATCGTTAAATTTCTATTAAAACCAAAATTTTGAAATCTTTATTTATTGGAAAAAAAAACTAGTTTTCCCACTCAAATTAAAAAAAAAATGCATTTTCAACTTTAAATTCTCTTATACAAAAGCCCCCTCAAAAAATTTTAAGCAAAAGAAAAAAATTTTAATAAAATTAATTTTCGTTCCAAATATTTTAAGTACTAAATGTAACACATTATTGTTAATATACATAATATCTGTTAAAAATTAACTCATATAATATCAAATTATTTTACACTACTTTATTATATATGAAAATAAAATATTTAATTTTATCATGTTTAACATCAGTAATTTGGAACCTGTTGTAATTGTCGTACCACTTCAGAATACAAACTTATATGGTATAGTCGCATTACGAGTCTTCAAGTAATTCTTATCAATTATAAACCAAAATATTGTATAAGAGCTTTGGCACACATACAATTTCTATTTTTGCAAATGTTTGATTTCTTATTTGTTGTCCATAGGTTTATATTTAAACGCGCACACAAGCAACTGTATGATCGAATGCTATTAAGCAATCAAACAGTTTGTAATTTTTTACAAACTGATAACAATTTTTAGTTAATACCGATATCGATTAGAATTGATGCGATAGTTTAATTGCTTAGATGTGCGAGCAACAATTTTGTGAAAAACTAAACATCGCACATCTGGCTCAATACTTTTAATCGAAATTGTAAACCAAAATAGTGTATTGCATACTTATAGGCGAAATTAAATTACTTCGCCAATTTCCGTCAAAAATTCGTAATCTTGAAATGTAAAAATTTTAAAATTTCTTTTTCACAGAATCAAGTATAAAATGTCAATCTAAACAGAAATATTTAATTTTTTTTTATAAATGTTGCTAATTATTTCAATAAAAGGTTTACCAAAACTGGATTTTTTTTAAACATAATTTAAATCTCCATATTATACTAAGTCTAAATCAAAGATCAAAAAAAAATTTTATTAATGAACTATCTCTTATTTAAAAATATTTAAATTTTTATAAGAAATTTCAATATTTCACGCTATTTTTGTTTCACATAGATATTGAATTTCATTATAAATGTAATAATCTTGTAAATACAAAATTAAAAAATAAAAGCTGAAAACTGAAATAAGAATTTAAATGGCCATCACCGCTAAATATACGATATTGTTATACAATAATAATTTATGCAGTTATATACATGTGTATGAGAGTATATAAGTATGATTATAATGATTTTATTGATAATTTCAATCAATAGTTTATTTGAAAAATAAAAAAATTTCTTTTCAATATAAAAATATAGAATTAATGAAGAAAAAGAAAAGTAAAAGAAGTATGTTATTATATAAAGAGGAAATAGTTTCACCTTTTGAAAAATGCACACGCATTTCTCGCCTTATAAATTATTCATTATATTTGAAAAGAAATGTGTAGAAAAACCCAAGTACATATTTATAGGATTGTAAGAATAACACGTTTTCAGACATAAATCTTACACATGTACAAAATGCATGTGAATGGGTATAACAAGTTTTTAACAAATTTTTCTAAACTTTGACGTCATATGGGTCTAATATAAGCACGTAATGTATAAAAATGCAGTGGATTAAATTTATGTTCTGTAAAATTACTCATTTACCTTTAATAATATATTTACGTACAGATCTTGTATTTATATCTACTCTTAATACTTAATAAAAAAAAATTGCATAAATTTAGGAGAAATCTTGGAATTAAAAAGTTCGAAAAATTTGAATTTTCAATTGTAACTATTTCAATTAAAACATAACGATTTACTTTTCTGGAAGAGTTCTGGCATAGAAGTTTAATTAAATAGAAAGTTAATTAAGTTAGTTTAAGAAGAGGCCGGAAAATAAAATTTTGCATACCTTGTTGGGTATAAGCTCGAAGATAATATACATATGGGCAGACAAAGTAATACATTTTTTTCTTAAATTTTCTGGAAATATGCCAAAAGCAAGTTAGCTTGAATTCAGGTAAAAATTTTTGAAATCAAAAGGCACACCCTTTTAGTTTACTTTCATATTATGCACCTATCCAACTATACATGAATATTATACAATAGCTGTTATGGTAATAACAATAATAGTAAAGTGTCATTTTTTTTAGGAATCTAGTATATTTATTGTTATATCTTATAAATGTGTCTCTTTTCAGAGATATACATATGTATAGGGTGGTTCTTAATGATAATAAAAAACAGATTATTGAAATTTAAATTTTTGATTTTCGTGTTGCCTATATCAGCGCCTATATTAAAATACATTGTTTTATAACTTTATACTTACATAGCGATTCAAAAATATTTTGAATATCATTTGAATAAATTAAAAACAGGCTGAAAAAAAATTCAATAATTTTTTTTTCCATTTTTCGATTATTATACTGAATTATAAACCTGGAACTGCCATAACTTATTTGCATTTTTAGTAATAAGCCATCATCAACTTTTTTTCCATTTTCAATATTTAAGATTATGTTTATTAAGCGATGAAGGTTTTAATATAACAAGAAATTGTAAAAAAAAATTATTGTAATATTGTGAACATAAAACTGTACAAGATGTTTCAGAAAATTCAAAAACTAAAACTGGACTCAATTTATTACAGTTCAAACTATTAGCATAAAAAATTTTGTAATTTTAGTTAAAATTCGCAATACCGGCTTAATATTTTCCAAAAATCGCATGCTTCATACATTTTAATATTTAATTTTGACAAACCATACGGGATAACGTCTAAAAAAAATTCAAGGCTGGAAATAACTTACTTTCTTTAAGAATCATTTTTTCCTAATAAATGCAGAATTGAATTTGTATGAGCTCAGTAATGATTGTGTTTCATTATACAAGAATTGAATATTCTGTAAATAAAATGGTGTAACACCTTGTTTCTCCATTGGTTCTTTAATAACAATATAAATATTAATGTACTATGGAAAATATTGAAATGCGAGTATCATTTTTAACGTTACATGAATTTAATTATGAGGGAAAAAATTCTTGCATTTATAAGAATTGTAATTATTATTATAGTGCGCATACTTTCAATTAAATTCCAAGAAAAATTCTTTTTTTTTTTTTTTCACTTAATGGAGGCTCACCTTAGGGGCCTGTTCATTTAAATATTGAAGCGCTATTAAAAAAACGTACTTGTAACTTGTAAGAAATTAATATAAATTTATGTGCCATTTATACTCAATTTTAGGCTTAATTTTAAATATGAGAATTCGAACATTGAGTATTTTAAGATTATTAATTGCAATTTATAGAATTTTTTCTTTTAAATTTGACCGTCTCATGCAGTTTTTTTAATAACGTTCACATTAGGATTTTAAGAAGGTATGTGTTAGTACATTTGGAATAGTTGCAAAATGGAAAAGGTATTTTTATTATAAAACAATTTTACTTATAGATTACTTCAATATTTCTTACAATTTTCCATTAAATATTCAAATATTTTGGTGATACTCATAACCCATATATTGAGTTATTTTACATACATATAAATGATTTGTTACTTAACTTCTGATTTTATAATCCAAAAATTAATCGATTAGATAAACAAAATTTTTAATAACGATCATTGACGTATACATTATATACTTTTCAATAATTATTCAAGTACTCCCTTCGAGTCATATCAAAAATATGTTGGGTATACTTAAATTTTTATCGAAAAATCTTTTCAAAAGTAGAGATTATGTCCATAAATCGATATTCTTATCTTTAATTTTTGCAGAGATTGATTTTTATTGTCTATGTAGCATACATACTTTTAAGCAAAATTAAGTTTTTGAAATGTGAATGCTATTGTACTATAATATTTATTTTTCGCAATATTGTATATTTATTAAATTTGTATACGAAAACAATTTGAATATAAATTGTAATTTTTATATATAAAATATTTCGTTAATACACATATTACAAGTGATGTAGAAAGCCTCAAATTTTCGTTTAAAAATCGTTAACTTCGAAAAAGGACAATAATTCTCCTTCTATCAGATTAACGCGATATTATTTCACTATAGTCTTGCAATTAATCATAATTAAGAGACTAGTCTAAATCACTATAATAAAAATGCTCATTCCAATTGATATGGCCACAAATAATTATTAAATATGTAGCTGAATATAGTAACAATCAGGTGAGAATAAGTATATACGGCATTTATATTCGTTGCAACTTAAACCAAGCTATTATATTATGCTCAACAAAATTGAGTCATTCTTATATGTATAGGCA